CCGCCGAATCCGCGTTACCAGCGAACCTCCCGCAGGCGTGCCACCGAAAGCTGCCAGACTGCTGTGCTTGGGGTGGCAAAATACATAGAGCCGCCTCTGCTCTTCATTTTACAAATGGAGCTTTAATGCACAGAAAGGCGAAGTTACTTGCTTAGGATCACACTGCAAGTCAGTATCAGAATTTAAACTAGAACCCAGGGTGCTAGACTTCTAGTCCAGTAGCCCATCCTTTGGACCACACAGCCTCCTTCAGAGATGATGCCTAGAAGTTATTTATTATTTTTTGTATTACCGCAGTGCCTACAGGCTCCAGTCATGGACAAGGAGCGCAGGGGCTGTACAAACACAGAACACAAAGATAGCTCTTGCCTCAGAGAGCTTACACTCTAAGCTCAGGCAAGAGAAAACAGATGGAGACAGACAGGCTGATGGGAGAGCACAAGAAAATGAGACAATATTGGTCAGCATGATCGGCTCTGGTCTCAGCACACGAGCAGCTAAACTGTTGTCTAGTTTTTAGTAGGTGTCATGGCAAAGGAGAGTTAGTGTGGGTGTCTTTTATATTATACTGAAAGAAGAACAGAAAACAGTGGTCAGCTCTGACTAGAAATGTATGGGAAGATGCTCTAATAATTGTCTACAGGTATAGTAATGAATAAAGCTATGATTAAGTCACAGGTATTTTTAGTAAAAGTCATGGACAGGTCACGAGCAATAAACAAAAAATCACTGCCTATGACCTGTCCATGACATATATTAAAAATACCTATGATTAAATCTTGGGGGGGGGGAGCACTGGGGCTGCTGCTTGAGGGATGGCTGGGAGGGTGCTACTGGGGGGAGGCGCTCAGGGCCAGCGGTACCAGCTGCCCAGGCCAGTGGACTGCTCTGGCCAGCCAGGGACTGCTGCCCGGGACTGTCGGAGCAGCGGCTGCTGTGGCTGTCCCCCAGGCTACTCCAGCAGTGGCTGCTGTGGTTGTCCTAGGGGCCATCTGAGCAGCTGGCCCCGGAGCTGGCTGCTTGGGTGGCCCTGTGGTCAGCCACACTGGATGCTGCAGAAGTCCCGGAGGTTGCAGAAAGTCACGGAATCTGTGACTTCTGCAACCTCCGTGACAGAAACAGAGCCCTAGTAATGAATGACCATTTAATGTGATAGTGCTCATTCTGCCTGGTATCATAAGGGGGTGGTGCAGATCAAGAATGAAAGTCTCCTAGACATTCCAGTGAATGTGTGGTCCTTTTATGGTCCAAAAGACTATTTCCCCATGTATATAGTATGTTTTCCATATAAATGTCTGCACCAGTTTCAGAGACATTCAAATCCAAGTAATCTGATTAGCTTTTTGCCAAGTTGTCTGTATAAATCATTAATAAAATGCCTCTGAAAGAGGGCATGGTTTAGAACAGCCTCTGGGACATGCAAAGAAGAAATATTATTTTCCCAGTGATGTGTTTGTGAGACATTTCTTGTAATTATTAAAATAGGATTTAGAAGAAGAGTAACATTTGGTCCATTTGGAGAGATTGGATTTCATAAACATTGTTTAACTAACATGCTATTAATCAAGAGTGGTTGGTGAAAGCATCAACTATATTTCCACCTGTCTGAAAAAAAAATATTACAGACCAAACTGACATTTCTTTGACCTCATAAAAAGCCCACGGAGAAGCTGTCATACTACTATTCAACGCAATATGAATAAACGTTTTGGCCTCGTTACCATCACATATTAAGAAGAAATGTGTTGTTGTTAGGGATAGGTGAAGAGGTTAGGATCAAATAAAAACTGACTCGAGCCTTTGACCAAATCTTGACCATAATCCTAAAAAGGTCTTTTCTGAAGACTTAAAAAGTTCCAATAACAGTTCGCTTCCCCCCCCTTACTTTCCATTATCATATGTTTAGCATTTTCTGGTTATATCTGAGACCCAACACAGGGCGTATCAGAAATCTCATTAAAGACCCTATTTCCATAAGATTAGCAGCCCTGATTTTCAGCACCAGGAGATTCAGATAGTTTTGACAAGGTTTGGATAAGCATCTGAACTTTTGGGTGGTAAGTAGATGTTCTATGGAGGGAGGATGGTGTTGAGATTAAGGCACATGGTTTGGAGATTAGAGATTGATATTCTACGCATCGCTTTGGTATAGACCCACTGCCTGACAGTAGCCAAGTAACTCAACCTCTTTGAACCTCAGTTCCCTCATCTGTAAAATGGGGATGATAATACAGGGATATTGTAAAGGTTAATTCTTGAGTGTTTGTAAAGTATGTTGAGTCCCTTAGATCAGTGGTTCTCAACCACGGGTCCGGGGCCCCCTAGGGGGCCTCAAGCAGGTTTCAAGGGGGCCTCCAAGCAGGGCCAGCATTAGACTTGCTGGGGCCCAGGGCAGAAAGCCAAAGCCCCACCACCTGGGGCTGAAGCCCAAGTTCCTGAGCCCTGCCACCTGGGGCTGAAGCTGAAGTCTGAACAATGTAGCTTTGTGGGGACCCCTGTGGCATTGGCCCCCAGGCAATTGCCCTGCTTGCTACCCCCTAATGCCGGCCCTGGCTTTTATATGCAGAAAATCAGTTACTGTGGCACAGGTGGACTGTGGAGTTTTTATAGCATGTTGGGGGGCCTCCGAAAGAAAAAGGTTGAGAACCTCTGCCTTAGATGGAAGGGGCAATGGAAGTGCACATAATGATGTCATGCATAATACTTCTAAATTCCTCCTCAATAATGTTTTCACTTTGAATATATTTGTAGAAATGTCTTACCCAGCGGTTAATGTTCCAAGAGGGTGGATTCGACATCCCAGAAAATGACAGTATAAAGATCTGTGGAAACACTGAGTGTATTTGGAAAGGTATGATACTGGGACAGTGAATGCTAGTAATATATCTTGGCAATAAGGACAATATAGGATGTTACTTGGGCACCAAGAGGATTCTTTGATTATCATATGAGTCTTGTTTTATCTACTGTTTATGAAATATGTTAATTTGTTTTGATGGTCTAGTTATTTCTATGCACCTCAAATTCTCAGCAGTTAGGTCCTGCTCCAAACCCTTGTAATCAACGGGAGTCTTTCCATTGACTTCAATGGGCTTTAGATCCGGCCCTTAGTACCGAACTACACAGATATAATTTGGAGAACTTTTTCCGATCAGCTGAATGCTCCATTGCTACTGACTTTAATTATGAGTCAAAGCAACAAAAATCTCTCTCAAGAGTTCTTTTAGACTAGCTGGATAGAAAGATTTCTTCCTCTCTGTGGTTTCTGCTTCACTAATTTTAACTAGCGAAAGTCTCAAATATCTGATTTTTGTTTCAGGGGCCCTCAATAAGGAAGCTGGAATATGTGGGATGGAGGGTACCATTTAGGTAGACAGCAGTGGGCAATTGCTTGACCCCAGATTTTGGTAATCCTCCTTGTTATTCTGACTGTCTGAGAGAAATTTTTTAAACTGATCACATATGTTGTGACTGAAGGAAAAGAACAAGAAACCCTGCCCCACTAGAGTTTTACGTCATTACGGAACTTTGGTAGTTGCCCACATAAATGACTACTTATGTCTGCAATAACCTCATGTGCCTGCAAAAATATAGGTGTGTGAGCTCCCAACATACGTATGTATAGTTTTGAATCCACAATTTAGGCAGCCGCATGTGAATACTTAGCTTGCTGGATCAAATTGTAGAGGGAGGTAGGAGAGTCAGAGGCTCATTCTTCTCAGGGTGCTACCCTGAGCTTTCTTCTGTTGTGTGTCTATAGCCAAAATCTTTAGGCATTAGGCCCAATGGTGACTGGGAGAGATTTTTAAAGCATAAATGGCAGCTAAGTGCCCAGTTCCCATGGAAAGTCAATGTGAGGTAGGTGCCTAGCAGCCATGTGTGTCTCTGAGAATCTGCCCCTGAGAACCTGATTCTGGTCTCAGTTACTCTGGTGTAAATAAGGAGTAACTCCAAGGAAGTCAATGATATGAGAACAATTCAGGCCCTGGGTGGTTAATAATGGTGTTATCTAGTGGTGGAACAGGGGACTAAGTGTCAGGAATACCAGGTTTTATTCCTGTCACACGCTTACTCAGGATGACATAGCAAGTCACTTAGGGTAAAATTTTCAAAGGTGTCTACATCCCATTCCCAGCAGTGTCATAGGCACTTGGGCCCAGTTTTTAAAGGTATTTAGGAGTTGCTCCGCTCATCTTTGCAAAGCCTAAAACACAGATGCTAATCCCCCTAGATTAGCACCTAACTCCTACTGGGCCAAAGTGATTGAGATGGCTTAAATCCCATTTTAAAAATGATTTAGAAGCCTAAGTCTCACTGCAAGTCAATGTTAGTCTGTTAATTCATCTGTAAAATAACACAAAGGGGTGCAATGAGGCTTCAGGCAGCTCCATGATGTAAAAAACTCACACATGGAATATATTAGAATGCTGTGGTTTTATCAGCATGCACTTTGGGTGGGTACATTAATCATGAGAGGAGAAACCAGAAGTGCATTATGCTGATCATCCCAGCCTTTATAATAGACTGTGCCATATCATACTCTTTATATGCTACAGAAGAACTAGTTTAGGAATGCTTTAAAGAGCTTTTCAATTTTTATTGTGACTATTTTATTATATTGTCTTAATTGTTACTAGTTCAACTGCACTGGACTGAGAGAGAGTCATAAAGGTCCCTAAAAATAACCTAAAATAACTTTTCTGTACCCATATATGTCACACTTTTATAGTCAGTTATTTTGGGCCTGACCAGGGTTAGAAGTGAGTGCTGTCCCCTCCACCCCCAGGCACGAGGGAATTTCCCTTATTCAGTGATTTTTGCAGGACTGCAGGATATCAGACTTCAAAGTCCCAACAAGTTTATGCATTGAACAAGTTGTCACTGACCCAGGGCTGACTCCTGCTCATCTTCAGTCTAAGACAAATGTCACCTTCTGGGAGCAAATTCCATATTTGAGAGAGGAGAAAATGTTTGTCTGGCAGTTTGATTTTTTTATTTTAATGGCATCTGTTTGAACCTGCTCAGTGATGTTGGAATGCTAGTGTAACCCTTCTGCCCATCTGAGTTGGCAGCAACAAGGGCCAGGTTCTGTATCTAGGGGTTCCGTTTCAATAACGCAATGCAAAACCGGCTTGAGCCCCACCCAGTGACCTGGGACAATTACATACCACCCCCTGGGCGCCTCTAAGAGGCAATACTTCCCCTCTCGCAAGCACGGAGTCTGAGTGTAGCAGAAAATGTTTAATAACATGAGGTAAACGACATCAGCATTAAATTGGAAAAACACCACAAACAGGATTCATAACACAAACCATGAGCAAAAGACTCACCCCAGCAAATTGGGCTGTGTCCTTTCCCTTTGGTTCTTGAATCCAGCAACCCAAAGATCACCCAGAGTCCCCAAAGTCCAACACCCCAAAAGTTTCTTGAGTCCAGCAACCCAAGAATCCCAAAAGTCCAGCAACCCAAAGTCCCAACAACCCAAAAGTCTCTGCCCCTGGTCAGTGCAGCCCCAGAGTTCAAAAGTTTATCTGCAGGGTTTTATCCCCCCAGCCTGGGTGGAAAAGGGAGGGGGGGAGAAAAGGGGACACGCAGGGTGTTAAGGGGCACCTTACATGGTCCGAGGCCGACTGCCCGCCTCTCCGTGGGGTTCCGCTGCGGCCTTTACCACGAGCCGCTCCACTCCACCAGCTGTCTCGTGAGCCGCTCCTGCTGCCCCACGAACTGCTCCGCTCTACCAGCTACTCCACCCCACTCCACTCCTCCAGCCGCCCTGCAAACTGCTCAGCTCCGCTCAGCTTGCCGTTCCGTGGACCGCTCCACCATCCGTCCCGCAAACTGCTTCACTCGCCGTTCCGTGGGCCGCAAACTGGTCCACTCACTGTTCCGTGGGCCGCAAACTGGTCCGCCAGCCGCTTAGCAATATAGCTTCAGGCTCCCCCACTGGTTAACACAGCACTCAGTGATCTCAGCTCTTAGTAACTTTAGCTCTTTAGTGATTTCAGCTTGGAGGGAGTCCCAGTGCTGGTGCACCATTGGCCCAAAGCGAATTCCGCATAGCAGCCCGTAAATAGACTCTCAATAGAATCAAAATTAGCTCTGCTATTCAACAGTGGAGAGAGAAGATGGTGCAATTGGTGTTTCAGTTCCCTCAAAGGGGGCCCATACCATCAAGTACAAATACCTGTCCCCATCCTCTCTTTCAATTCACTGGGTTTTGGAACCCATGTCCCTTGTCTAGCAAGTGCTACTTAGGTGATGGTGAGACCCTCTGTCATAAAACAGTTTCATTGTCCTTGATTCACATAATCAGGGTAACAACACTTTATTCCTCCTGCCCCAATAACAGAGAAATTGGATGCCCTCCTTCCGCACTACCTGCTGTAGAAAATCCTCTAGTCTCCTGATGAAATCTGACAGTCGTTCATGGGGCTCCTGATAGGTATGGCGGAAACGATAATACAGGTCTTCACTGCTATCAGTAGTACCATAGACACTCTCAAGAGCGGTTAAACAGTCTTGCACTGTGGCAGCTGGTTGTGAGTCTTTCAGGGCTCAGATAATTCGCATGGCAGGTCCCCTCAGACTCTCAAGCACATGTTTCTGCTTCTCAGCATCAGAGCATTCCCACTCTTGGACAAGTGGTACCGTAAAATCCCTCCAGGTCTCGTAATCCTCCTCCCCTGGCGGTACAGGTGACACCCCCAAGAATGAATGTAACCGTTTGTATGGAGCATTTTCATATACCGGCCTCAATGCATCTTTGAGAGCGTTTCCCAGCTCTTTGGCCCATCCCACCAGGCTGGGTGCTGCAGGTGTTGGAGCACCTCCTAATGCCAAAATTAATTCTTCTCTTGTCCGCTTCTCATCCACCATCAGAGCTTGCAATTTCTGTGCTAAAGAATCCACCTCAAGTGACACAGGCACACTAGGAGGGGACTGCTCTGCCCCCAGAATTGTCCAGGGAATACCTTCTACTTGCACCTCTTTGGGCATCTTATCAAGATCTGTTTCCTTGGAGTGAGTACATAGTGTTACCATGCCCTTCACTTTGCGGTTGTAAATACGGGTGTGGACCTTTGCTCTCCCCAGTATTTCAGCTGCATCTAAGCTCGCCTCAATTTCATTTGGTTCTCTTCTGGGAACCCCGCCACCAGCACAGCTTTGGTTACTGGGATTCGTGCTCCTCGGCACAGGTCTTCTAATAATCTTCTCTCCTTTTTTTTTAACTGAGATGAAAGTCACTCAGGAGTTTCTTTGCTCTGTGAAGAAGAGCCCAGGGTGCACAATGTAGGGGTGTGTGTACTGCAAAGGCCCCGTACGGGCCACCAAGTGTAACTTTAGTGCCCTCGTGGCCAAGATGGAGTCTGCTCTGCAGGCAGTTCTGGCCAAGAGATGGCGCGTGCAGGAATGCAGCAGGAGAAATCCCTTCCACCCCAGGGGCACCTGTTCCAAACCCCCCCCCGAGTGAACACACACACCCACAGGAAAAGTACAGTGGATATAACAAGGGAAATATTTATTTACAGAGGGATGAGAGGAGAAAAACAAGGGGAAATATAGGGGGAGCAGTAAGACAGGGCTGCATCCAAGCCAAGACCCCACAGGCCCAGTGGTAGCACAGTCTGGAAGGGCAGACACTGAGCAATGTGTCTGCACACAGAATTCAGGAGTCCTGAGCAAAGTTCCAGTCCAGTGGTGAGTCTTGGGTGCTCCTGGTCGTCTTCGGCGCCAGTGAACTCTCCCCCAACAAACCCTTCCGGTGCCCTCTTCTGCTGCTCTCTGCAAAGCCACATAGAGCGACCACCTCCCCACTTAACTATCTAGCAGCCTCCCTCCTTGTTCCCAATGCAGAGTCACCAACCCCAGTGCTCACAGCCCCATGCAGCTCTGGGCAGCCGTGATACTGGGTCCAGCTCTGGCCTGTCCTTCTCGGGCAATTCCTCCCTGGCATAGTGCTCCTCCTGGCTCCTGTCCTGGGTGTCCCCAATCGGCCCTGTCCATCTCAGGCCTCAGGCAGGTTCTCTGCTGCTTCACTTTTCCAGGGCCTGCGGGCTGCTCTCCCTCTCCCTGGAGCTCCAGCGCTGCCCCCTGGAGTTTCCCTCCTTTTTTCTTACTCTCCCCCTCCCCCTTAGGAAAAAGATTTAAAGGGCCATGCTCTCTAAACCCCAAAGGGGTTATATATTAAAAGTTTTCATGAAATCTCTCTATAAACGTGGAAGGAAAACTGGCAGTTTGGATTTAAATCTTGCCCTGAAATGACTGAAAAAACAAGGAAATGTTTGGGTTGCAAAACCACAAAAATATGCTAAATTCTGCACAGAACAAGTAGAGACATGGCCCCTGCTCTGAAGAATTTACACAAAACACCGAATTAATGCATGAGAGCTAGAAAGTGAAACCAGCTAGAAAGAAAAAATGAACCATTTCCCCTGTTTTCCATGTCCAAGTTGAGAGAAGTACAAAAAGGTAAAGGGTGAAAAGAATTTTGGCAGTGAAGGTATTTAGCCATTGGAACAATTTACCTAGGGATGTGGTGGATTCTTCATTACTTTAAAACAAGGCTGGATGACTTTCTAGAAAATGTGCTCTAGCTCAGCCAAAAGTTATGGGCTTGATGCAGCAATCACTGGGTGAATTCTGTGGCCTGCACTGTGCAGGAGGTCAGATGAGATTATCCTCATGGCCCCCCTTTGACCTTCACATCTATGAATCTAGGTAATCCAAGGTGAGTGTTAAATTCATTTATCATATGTCTCTGCAACTTATGACAGATATGACTTTCACAGGTGATGTGTGTGTGTGTATGTGTATATGCACTGAGGTTATAGCTTTGTGATAGATTGCAGAGCCATGTGCTAATATAGATTTGTTCTTGATGAAGTCAACATTTACCGATTTGAAAGCTGAAAATTTAATTATCCTTGTAAATCAGTTTCCTCAGAATGCCTGGCGCATTCCTTATTCATTCTGAATATCTTTATCTAAAGAATTTGACAAAAATATTGCTTGTAAAGGAGGGTTTCAAAATGACACAAGGAAGGTGCACAGATGCGGATGCCCGTCATGCTGCTGCAAGACAATTTCTGAAGCGTAACAAGGAAATAAAATCTTGTTGCTAATTACCTAGCTCTTTTCTGCAGGACGTGGGGTCTTTGCATCAGAAAGCAGACAGTGACCACAAGGCTGACTGTTCTGCTTGCTCATACTTGTGTTTTACTGCTGGTTTTTTTCTGTTTCTCACTTCTTCCTCATCACATACCTAAAATGGAGTGATCAAAGACATCAAAGGCGGGCCTGATGTGAAAAGTCTTTTTCTGTGGTTTTGCATTCGGGGGGACTCTTTTGATGGGAACTTAAAACCAAATAGCAGCATTTATTTAGAAAATGATTTAACTGCTTCATTTGGGGATTTTGTGGTGACCGAGCATCTAAGAAGTCTTCAAAAGTTAAAGGCCTTTTAACAGAGAATGAAAGCAGGAGAAAAAGGCAAAGCTAAATTTTAGGGTTGTTGATTAATCACAGTTAACTCATGCGATTAACTAAAAATGATTCATGATTAAAAAAATTAATCGCAATTTTAATTGCACTGTTAAACAATTGAAATTTATTTAATATTTTGGATGTTTTTCTACATTTTCATATATATTGTATTCTGTGTTGTAACTTAAATCAAAGTATATATTGTATAAAGTATAAATATTTGCACTGTAAAAATGATAAACAAAAGAAATAGCAGTTTTCAATTCACCTCATACTAGTACTGGAGTGCAATCTCTTTGTCATGAAAGTGCAATTTACACATGTAGATTTTTTTTGTTACATATCTGCATTCACAAACAAAACAATGTAAAACTTCAGAGCCTACAAGTCCACTCAGTCCTACTTCTCATTCAGCCAATTGCTAAGACAAACAAGTTTGTTTACATTTACAGGAGATAATGCTGCCCTCTTCTTAGTAACAATGTCACCAGAAAGTGAGAACAGGCATTTGAATGGCACTTTTGTAGCTGGCAGTGCAATGTATTTATGTGCCAGATATGGTAAACATTTGTATGCCTCTTCATGCTTCAGCCACCATTCCAGAGGATATGCTTCCATGCTGATGACACTTTTTAAAAAAATAATACGTTAATTAACTTTGTGACTGAACTCCTTGGGGAAGAATTGTATGTCCCCTGCTCTGTTTTACCCACATTCTGCCATATATTTCATGTTATAGCAGTCTCGGATGATGACCCAACACATGTTGTTAATTTTAAGAACACTTTCACTGCAGATTTGACAAAACGCAAAGAAAGTGAGATTTCTAAAGATAGCTAAGGCACTTGATTCAAGGTTTAAGAATCTGAAGTGCCTTCCAAAATCTGAGTGGGACGGGGTGTGGAACATGCTTTCAGAAGTCTTAAAAGAGCAACAATCAGATGTGGAAACTACAGAACCCGAACCACCAAGAAAGAAAATCAACCTTCTGCTGGTGGCATCTGAATCAGAGGATGAAAATGAACATGTGTTGGTCCACACTGCTTTGGATTGTTATCGAGCAGAACCCGTCATCAGCATGGACGCATGTCCACTGGAATGGTGGTTGAAGCATGAAGGGACATATGAATCTTTAG